AATTTAACAGTAAAATAGGCCTGAACCCGTTTTCTTTTTTCTTTTTTCTGGCATTCTAATAATTTTTTAAGCTTGGTTTTTGCCATGTTAAAAAACATTGTTGCAGTTCTTTAAGGGATTTCCCCAAATCTTTCTGCAAAAATCCCCTGGGATTCTTGCTCCACTGTTCCTGTGCTGCACTTTTTCAATTATTCCTAGTTCATGGGAATGTGAGCGCCATGATTAGACCTTCAGCGTGGGCTTCTACAAGTAAAGACTTCTCTGATTGACAGGTAACACTTTACAATAAGGTACACAAAATTTGATTTAACTACTAGGTAACGCCTCAGGAACAAATTAGGAGCTAATGGGTAGTTAACCAGCACTTACTGAGGAACACAGCCAAGCCTTATTAGGGGACTACTGGTTTGTCACCTTGTAAATGAAGAGGAACTAATCAAGAACTAAGTTACTAAGGAAACCAAAAAGGAACGAATCAGGAGCTAATGGGTAGTTAACCAGTACTTACTGGGGAACACATAGCCAAGCCTTAGGGGACTACTGGTTTGTTACTACAGAAACAGAGGAGAAATTCTCCATGTGGGTTCTGAATAAACCCTGTACCCACGAGGCCACAGCTCAGACTTATAGTTAAGATGACAGCAGTACAAGATTAAGAAATCAGTTCTTACCACTGATTAGTAGTAATAAACCAATAAAATCAGTAATCACTAGGAAACAGGTTTTTGACAATTACAATCTGTGAACTCACATAACTAAGAAAATATATCTCATAGCTAATTTTATACACATTTATAAATATAATTTCAGGGGTATGTAAAAGGCACCCATTCGGTGGAATGACCCTCCTGATTCGTTCCTGAGGCGTTCCCTAGTAGTTAAATCAAATTTTGTGTACCCTATTGTAAAGTGTTAACAAAAGTCATTCCATTTTTATATTTGTTGTTGCCCGAGTGTGTTATGTTTGCCTTCAGAAAGAACTAGTATTTGGATAATGAACATTTTGACTTGGTGAACCTGACCCACTGTCTACAACACAAGCCTATACCTCATAATTAAACCCTGGAATAATGTTTTAACTAAATTTGGCATTATTTATTCTAAATATGCCTTCATTAATTTCATCCATCCATCCATCCATCCATCCATTTTCTTTACCCGCTTATTCCTTTTTGGGTCACGGGGGTCGCTGGTGCCCATGTCCAGCAATCACTGTGCGAGGGGCGGGGTACACCCTGGACGGGTCGCAAGTCCATCACAGCCTTCATTAATTTATTAACCTTTATTTAACAAGACAAATCCCACTGAGCTCACAGATCTCTTGCAGATCTCTATTTGCAATTAATATGAGCCAAAAGTTCTTTCCTAAATCAAATCTTCCACCGTTTCTTCTAAAATGTTTCGGGTTTGTTTTCAAGATAATTTGCAGATGTGTGGCTAAAATGAAACAGAAAGGTTTTCTTTGATCTACCATGAAAGTCAAATATTGTATGAGCAGATTCTCCATAGAAAACTGACATCTGATCAGACATCACTGGTGGGGGGGTCGGGTGGGGGCAGTTATCACCGCTATAAATTAAAGAACCCTCCACCCTGGCCCAATAGTCTTACATGCTACATTTTCTTTAAAGAAAATGAATTTAAAAGTGGATTAGTTAGTGCTATTCTCAACAAGGAAGGTTTGAGTAACAGTGATGGTAACAGGATGACACACCGCAGTGCATTCTGGGAAAATGGAAACAGCATGCATGATACACATAAACATGTACTTCTTAATATTTTTCACTGATTCTTCTTGTGTTGAGGTGCATCCAGCTGATATGCACTCAGGTTAAGACATGTTACAAAGTAACTGCAGCGTGTTTCATGAAGTGATGGAAGTTTTCACCGTTTCCCTGCCTGGTGACCAACACGAGGCAGGCCGAGAGCCTCCTAGATCTCTGCAACTAAACAAAAGGTCTAGCATTCTTTGAAGGGATGCATATCACCCGCCGTCAGCCCATTCCAGAGTTTTGAATTAAAATCATCTGATGATGAGAAGGAACTGATCATACCTATTTTGGTCAGACATTAAAAGTAATATGAATAGTTTCATGCAATATTGCAGTATGTTGTGTGATGTCACAGGATCTATCAGGGCTTGAGGAATGTGCAGTGAATGACCCGCAGCTATACTCACCAAACCTTAGCTCAGTATAACAAAGTCCATGCTCAATAATCCAAGTATGCAATCCAACATTTTTTAGCTCAATATCTATTTTGGGTATTGGTGTGATGCCCTGAGGCCCTGTTTACACAACACTGTGTTTAAGTGAAACCGAAACATTTCTGTTGTTTTTCGGCTGTGTACACAAGAGCAATCGTTTTCTCGGACACTGAAACTTTTTGAATCCAGGTCTCAGAGTAGAAATTTTTGGAAACGCCCGGCATCGATATGAAATCGCACATGCGCACTACAGACTGCTGCAGTCTATAGTTTGTCTGCGTTTATGCGAGTAGATGAGCAACAGCAGAGTGCTGTTTGTGCTGCTCACTCTGTAATTCATCAGAGCTTCTGATACAAACGCATGTGCTTCACTATCTCTTGGGTCAGCTGAAACACATTATTCACTTTCTACAAATATGAACAAGCATGTAAAACGTGTAAAACATATAAGGACGCAAAGCCTCAAAAGGCACATGTCCCTGTTGTTGAAATACAAAAATCACAGCGCCACCTAGTGACCTGGAATAGAAACTACAGTGGTTTCAACTTGTCTGACCAGCGATCACAGTTCCTCGATACTTTGGGATTCGACTTTTGCGGACTCACTCTTTCACGGGTTTTTAACGTAAGATTGTATACGAATACGACTGGCTAATTATTTAGTTGATGTTTTTCTTAGTTCATATCTTAGATGTTATTACTGTTTTTTCTTATACATTTTATTGTTGGATGTAACTGGGACCCTGTGTACATAATTTCGCTCCACCACATGTACCACATGAGGTGCGAATGACAATAAAGAAACTCTGACTCTGACTCTGACTGACTCTAATTGATGGAAAGCGTCCAACCAGAGCATTGTGCTGAGGAGCAGACTGGCCATCGGGAGCACCGGAACATTTCCTGGTGGCCTGCCCCGCTCCCTGAGCAGTAGCTATGGGGAAAGACAGACCCCACCCCACCTCCACCTTTCTTCTTCTGAGGTTGTCTGTCAGAAAGAGAAAGGAGGGGGCAGGGGTGTGGTCTGTCTTTCCCACTCACTACCGCTCAGGGAGCGGGCCAGGCCACTGGGAAATGTCCCGGTTCTCCCAAAGGCCATTCCGCCCTGGCAGTAACAGCCCTGGCATCAGTCTGTCGGCTCTCTTTCGCTGTGCTCTTTTAAGCCTCCAATATACTCGGGCGTACGTTAGTCCACGGAGGACCGCGCATACCGGATTAGAGTCAAAGCATATGCCCACAGGGCATGTCCGTGCAAAGCTCAGTTTTTATGACCACGTATGTGTACTTGGTGGTGCACAATAAACTGCCCGGCGACGGACTGTTTTGTATGTGACACCAATGTTTTAAATTTCCCTTCTTCATCCCTGGTCTGGTTTAATGGCATTTTCTTTCTTTTTTTTTTTGCCAAGAGGCAAACAATCTCTTCCTTTTCATTAAGTGAATTAAAATCATATCCAGCGTAGCTGCGGGAGGGTCTGTAAATTTCCTGGTTGGCTGGTCTGATGTGTGGGTTGCAGGGTCAGTGCTCCCTGTTTTTTTTTTCTTCTAAAACTTTCTATTAACAATATATAAACACAGAACACCGCTGTGACCAGTGAGCCGTTCAGGGTGGAGGTATCAGCACTCAGCTACTGAAGAAGTTGTTCGGCTCTTGGTGTAGATCAGAATCATCCACCTGATGGCATTTTATACATTTTATTTTCAACACAGACAGAGTGAACCCCACAGGTCTTTGTGAGAGCTACCTCCCTCACTCATGGTTACTCTACCACTACCGAGCCTAACACAACTAACACTTAATAAACACATAAACTAGAAGACTAATCACTAAAAGAACATGCTAAACTAACCAAAATGAAAAACAATAAATATAAATTCTACCCATAATCCCTCACAGATGACATGTGACCAACAGTCAACCACAGCAGAATGCTACAATATATATAAACACTAAAATAAATATAACCTCCCTACTTTGCGGATTTTCACCAATTGCGGGGGATAAGTGGGACTACTGTATTACTGTGTGAACACATACATTTTCACAATCATCGTAAAATCTGTAACACTTCCAGGAGCTTGTCCCCCTCCAGACCCCCCCCCCCAACCCCAGCCACCAGTCTGAAATCTTTCTGGAGGCGCCCCTGGAGAACATCAGAAAAATCACAATATTTTTAAAATTTATTAGATTTTTATTAGGCACAGCTGAGTCTCCGGGACAAATAAATAATCACACAGATGATCGACTAAATGGCTGACCTCATTAAACAGAAGTGTTCCTGCAGCGTGTTCACGCGCGCGCGCGTGCACACGGGAGCGGCGGGTCATGTGACTGCTCTCTGGTGACGGCTCCTTTAAGGAAACGGAACCGAGCCCGGAGCGAGTCGACGCTGAGGATGTGGGCAGGAAACGCGCTGCGAGCACGGCCAGAGGAGCGAGCACGCTTCCCCGCGCCGTTGCACAACACAGGGCGGTGAAAATGCGCTCGGGTTCGGGACTCTGACGCCCAGGAGCGGCCGCTCTCCTCGGATCTGCACCTCCCCACCCCCCCTCCTTCTCCTCCGGCGTGCGGTTTGACATCCATCCGAGCGAGAGCGCTGCCTTCCCCGCCCGCTCGGCTGGAAGACATCGGGAGGCTCCGCTGGAAAAAAAAAAGGAGGTGTCTGTTTTTACTCCTGTTGTTCCTCCTCCTCGAGCCATGAGGGAGTACAAAGTGGTGGTTTTGGGCTCGGGCGGCGTCGGCAAATCCGCCCTGACGGTCCAGTTCGTGACGGGCTCGTTCATCGAGAAGTACGACCCCACCATCGAGGACTTCTACCGGAAGGAGATCGAGGTGGACTCGTCCCCGTCCGTGCTGGAGATCCTGGACACGGCGGGGACCGAGCAGTTCGCCTCCATGCGGGACCTGTACATCAAGAACGGCCAGGGCTTCATCCTGGTCTACAGCCTGGTGAACCAGCAGAGCTTCCAGGACATCAGGCCCATGAGGGACCAGATCATCCGGGTGAAGAGGTACGAGAGGGTGCCCATGATCCTGGTGGGGAACAAGGTGGACCTGGAGGGCGAGAGAGAGGTGTCCTCCGGGGAGGGCAAGGCTCTGGCCCAGGACTGGAGCTGCCCCTTCATGGAGACCTCAGCCAAAAATAAAGGCTCTGTGGACGAACTGTTTGCAGAGATCGTGAGACAGATGAACTATTCAGCTGTTCCAAGCAGTGGAGACAAGTGCTGCTCATGTGTCCTGCTGTGAAAACTCTGCTCGGCTGGACCTGACAAGTTGTCCCTTCATTTTCTCTTCTTTCTTTGTGGCTACAAGTATTCTCTCTGTCCTCACACCGCTGTCTTATTGTTGCACACAACAACAATCGATGATGTTTGATAGTCCGGAGAAGTGTTTACATGATCAAGTACTTGAATGTTTTGGGATTTGTTTTCATATATATGTATATATATATATATGCATATATATGTGTATATATATATATATATATATAATCTTTGTATTCTTAGAAATGTGCCTCAGTGGGAATGTCTAATTGTGAAACCTAAGAGTCACGTGTTTTCTTAATTTTTAATTCTGGATATTTTGAGTTGTACTGCTTACTTTGCTGGGCCGAGTCCTTCGGCCTTGGAGCTTGGCTGTGGTGAGGACGATGGTAAAAAATAGGGTTTCTCGTACCAAATCCTTCCCCCTGCGTGTGGGATCTGTCCCACCTTTGGAAAGCATTTTAAAATCTCAGAACAAACTCACCAGTCAAGCCTTGCACAGGTCCAGTTTTAATGTAATCTCTTAGAACTGATCGCAGACTGAGATTCTGCACCTGAAGCCATGGCGTGGAGTCGTCTTAAGCCAACGTATTTTGTGATTTTTTTAAATTTTTTTTAATTTCTCTAAAACATGCACCAAGCTGACGGTGTTCCTCCTTGCCGTTCACAAACATGGACCTCGGTGCATTGTGTCGCTGCATGGGGAGCACCATGACCCCATGTCAAGTGCCTTCCCTCAGAAATCCCCTGTGACTGTGCCAACCGTTGAGCCCTACTTCTTCTGCAGTGCGTCTTGATGGCAATCAGAACTTATTTGAACTTTTTTTTTTTTTCTGGCCTGCACTCCGTTTTCATTTGGTGTCGGTTTAAAAAGCAAAAAAAATAAAACGATCAAGCTTCTATTTTACTGCCTGGAGACCGAGCTCGTAAGTAGACCGGGTCCGATCCAGGCTGTTTCCAGAGGTACTAGTCCCTTATAAGAATAAATCTCTTAACCTGCTGGGATTCTGGTTTAATAAACGGCAAGCCATGTTTGTATTATGTAGATTTTTTTTCTTTTCTAAAATGTGACATTTTTGACTTTACTGTAATTTCTTCTCCTTTTGGGCAATTTTTCTGCCACATGTCGAGTTTGACAGACGTAATACAAAACACACGTTTTGCTTAACCCTGCGTGCTGTGCTTTTCTGCGTTTTAACGGCTTTTATGTTGGGTTTCTTTGTCACTGTTCTCAATTTTAGTTCTTAATTACTTTGAGACTTTATCACTTGAAGACCAATAAATTACTTTCATACAAATGCAAGCAGCAAAGATGTTTTTATGAAAAGTACTTCTTAAGAACCATAATCACCCAAAACTAAACTTTAGGGAGATTTTGCTGTTTCAATACTTCTCTATTCTTTGCTTCCAATCAGTCAGACTTCATTTTGATCAGTAGTTCAAGTTTACTGAAAGTCCATTATGATTTTTCTTAGGATTTGGCTGCTAATTTACTCATTTTTCTGTCCAGTTCTTGTGCTTGATCGTTTTTTGTGCAGCGTGGGCTTCAATAATGAGGAAAGCGAACAACTAGGTCAAAAGAAGTGCAGCAGATGAATATTATCTGAAAAAAAAAAAAAAAACAGCCTGATACAGGACATGAAATGTCTTTTTATCCATCAATTTATTATTTTCTGCTTATCAAACTCTCTTCTTTGGTATTTTTCAGCGGTTCAGCTAAAGAAATGGGAACAAATGGTGTCTGCTGGTCCGTTCAGATCCTTTTTTAAAATTGGGCCTTGGCTAAGTTGTGCGTTGTTTGTTTACTGGTCTGTACATCGAGTTCAGGGAGCGTTTGGTACAAACTGGGTCACAGTTCCAACAGAACCTTGCCTTTAAAAAATGGTGAAACACTGAAAGTGCTTCAAAAAATCATCCAAAGGAAACCTGGAAGGTGGAAAATAGTAAGAACCACTAAAAATGACACATCTCTGATTATTGTTGCACAGCTTTTTACTTTTAAATGCCATTTTATAAACTTAAGGATGTCAAATAATGCTGAGTTATAGTTACAGCTGATGGAAAGTGATTTCTTCTTCATTTGATGATAAATGTGTTTAAAACATCTAAAATGAGCTCTAAACCACCTTCAGCAGTTATTCAGCTTGTGATCACAGCCAGTGTGATTTAAAAAAAGCCCGTCTCCGTCCACTTGTTTGGTTAGATCATGGAGTTCCCGGTCCGTGTGTTTCGGTTGGGGTGAGCTGCTTCCTCTTCTCCCACCGCATGTTTTCTTGGCTGGAAACTGGTGAACAGAGAGGGCTTTTTATATCAGGAGCCAAGTTCAGTCAGCCATACGTGCTGTTGACTGGGCTTCAACGAGTCTCTTCTCAAGCTGAGCTGGTAGCTGCTGCTGCAAGCGTCCCTTCAAATGCAAAACCTCCACGTCAGCTTTTTCCTAAGAGGTTTTGGTTAAAACACTTTTTTTTTTCTTCTTCTTCAGAGTAAAAAAGGAGTTGCTACTTCTAACACTTTGTTTTTATGCTCGGCAGGAGCTGCATGTTTAGCAGTCACGTGGAGCTCCCAGTCCTGTGAAGCTTAATTAAAGGCAACGGGAAGTGTTCACAGTTTAAGATGCTGTTTCAACTGGGTTTTTTTTTTTTTTTTTCAGAATGTTTTGCTCCAAAGTTCTGAAAATTACTTATATTTACATTAATTGGCAGCAGAGATTTTTTTTCTTCTTCTTACAAATGTTTCAGATTGAAATGGGTTTCTAAAAGAGCACAGAGAAAAAAGATCAGACTTGTTGCTTTTAACCTCAATCAACAGCAGCAAATTTGTTTTCCGTAATCTGGAGAGGTGAAAATGTGCAAACAGATGAGTTATTTTTATTTATTTATTTTGAACCACTGATAGCCTGACAGCTAAACTGGACTAAAATATCCATATTGATGCAAAGTTACTCTTCCATCAGTCTTACCAGAAACGTACAGCTTATACTGTTTTATATGTTCTAAAAGCAGTTGTGTTTCTTTGCGAGGCTGAATGGAAAGATATGGGGACTGTGTCGGAGTTTATCAGGCCATATTATTTATTGCTTACTGGCAAAGATAAAGCGATCATTGAATGAACATGACTACCTGTTGGAGTCAGTTGGATTCAAGATGGCCGCCACAACAAAGCCATCTTAATAAACAAAACGGAAGTAACTCGGTGAGTTTTGCAGTTGTTGAGCTCAAATCCCAATTTGGGTCTAAAACTTTGCCATAAGTTGTTGGAATCATCTTTGTTAGCAAAATATTTCTTAAAGCTTCTTCTTTTGGCTGCTCCCTTCTGCAGCGGTCACCACAGTGAACTAAGTCACACGAAGACCCGGCAATTACTTTTACGCCGGATGCTCTTCCTGACACGACCACCGAGCTACCACAGCCGTCTGTGTGGAGCAGAGAGCTGCTGTCTAGGGCACCCAGGGGAGCAGATGGTGGGGGTTAAGGGTCTTGCTCAAGGGCCCAGATTGGGGCAAATGAAGGTGGAGGCAGGTGTGGGTGTTTGACCTTTCCCACCCACATTTTGATGTCGGTACTGGGAGTTGAACTAGCGATCTTCTGATCACAAGCCCTCCTTCTTTCACCTCTGCACCACCACTCCCAAAATATTTCTTAGACCACTGAACAGATTTGAATGAAATTAAGAAAGTAATACTTTACTTCTAGAGCTGACATAATTCAAGATGGCTGCCACAGTTAATCCACCTTAGCCAGCAATAAACTGGCTATAAGTCAAATAATTATTATAAACAGTGAGCTAAAATTTGGTGTGGTAGTAGCTGAGTCACAAGTAACGCGGACTCCAAGCACTAACGGATCATCCAAGATCACACAAGGCTTTGTTTGGCAATTTTGTTATTTTCAAGTTTGGAACTAAATGACTTGAACTCATATCTCAAAAAAAGATTGTTTTACTTTAAACCTCTGGAATAAAAGATGCAAACAGTAGTCACATCATCCAGGAATGCAGGATTTATAATCTTTTAGTGACTTAACATCAGCAGCATTCACAGATGACTTTATTAGACTTTTTTTGGCTCCTATTTTATGACAGTAATCATACAGCAGCTGTTCATAACTATCTTTTGTACTTTTACATCTTAAAACACTGGAGCCTAAACAATTTGGTTGTTGCTGGTTACATTATGCTAAAATTAACACCTAAACCAATTAGACTAAAAACTTCTAAAAGTCTCATCCGTTGACACATTTTAATGGATTTTTTCACCGTAGGATTTTATGTTTCGCAACAACTGTTGCTGTTAATTTGCTTTAGCCGCTGCTATGCAGCATGTGCCTTAATATTCCAGACCCTTGGATTTCTTCACAGCACAGATTGTGACACTTTGCTCCGCAGGAAACACAGATCACAGATTACGCAACAGAAAAATCCTCTCTTTTTCCTTAATTTTTGTTCATAGTTTCAGGCAAAGAGCTTGGGATTTAAGAAGCACTTGAAGCATGTCTTGTGAATGACTCTCAGCTTCAACCACACCAAATTATAGCATAGAGGAGTATCCATCCATCCATTCATCCTTCCATCCATCCATCCATCCATCCATC